GTGTGTGGTGTGTGTGTGTGTGTGTATTGTGTAATATTGCGTTGGTGTGGTGTGTGTGTGTGTGTGTATTGTTTAATATTGCGTTGGTGTGGTGTGTGTGTGTATGTGTACTATGTTGTACCTACACTGAAGCGATGAGTCAGTTCCCCAACGCATTATGGGCTTTAAACACACCTCATGACACGTGAGAGTCAACACAGAGATCAGCCACGCTGTGTTGTTATACAGACATGACACACTCTGTCCTGTCCCAAGACATGCACCTCTGTGATATCCGTAGACTCAGAGCATGTGTGTGGTATCTCAACACGACCACTAACGTGTAAAGCCCCAGTGCAGTGTGTATGTGGCTGTCCTAAGGTGTACAGCCCCAGTGCAGTGTGTATGTGGCTGTCCTAAGGTGTACAGCCCCAGTGCAGTGTGTATGTGGCTGTCCTAAGGTGTACGTCCTAGTGCAGTGTGTATTGGCTGTCCTAAGGTGTACGTTCCAGTGCGGTGTGTATGTGGCTGTCCTAAGATGTACGTCCCAGTGCAGTGTGTATGTGGCTGTCCTAAGGTGTACGTTACAGTGCTGTGTGTATGTGGCTGTCTGCATTGATTCCCTTGTACCGTGCCGCACATTCAGCTTACGGCTCCAATAACGTTCGCCCATCTCCCGCAGAGTGGTCGTGCTGCGCGGCACAGCTGAGCAGTGGGTGTATGACAATATACACACGTGTAGTTCAATAACAACCGTCTGCGGGCTTGTGTGTGAGCCGGGGCAGCTATTTGTATGGGCGTGGAGGGGTGTGAGCAGAGTGTTTGTGTGGATGGATGAGTATATATAGAATGTTGCTGGGCTGGGTGTAGAGTGTTTGTGTGTATGTATGCGTATATATAGAGTGTTGCTGGGGTGTGTGTAGAGTGTTTGTGTATATGAATGAGTGTGCATAGATTGTTGCTGAGGTGTGTGCAGAGTGTTTGTGTGTATGGATGCGTATATATTGTGTTGCTGGGCTGTGTGCAGAGTGTTTGTGTGTATGGATGAGTATATATAGTGTTGCTAGGGTGTGTGCAGAGTGTTTGTGTGTATGGATGAGTATATATAGAGTGTTGCTGGGGTGTGTACAGAGTGTTTGTGCGTATGGATGAGTATATATAGTGTTGCTGGGGTGTGTGAAGAGTGTTTGTGGGTATGAATGAGTGTGCATAGTGTTGCTGAGGTATGTGCAGAGTGTTTGTGTGTATGGATGCGTATATATAGAGTGTTGCTGGGGTGTGTGTAGAGTGTTTGTGTGTATGAATGAGTGTGCATAGAGTGTCCCTGGGGTGTTGGTGCTGTGTCGAGTGGGGCTTGCTTTGGGTGTTGCTTCGGCTTGTGACAGTCTGTTTTGTGTGTATTTGCGCAGACGATGTTCTGCGTTCCGCCAACGATTGTGTTGTTACGCCACTGTGCACGAGGCCAAATGAACTTTACACGCATACAGCGCATGAACATATGTACAACACGCAAGTACCAACTAATACGTTAAAACGACCCCGCAATGTTAGATACGGATAGACTACACAAAATATACAAATAGCCTATACAGAACCGAACACCCCCCCCACGCACCACCACACATCCACACAGCTCACAATCCATCCAAACACATCCCC